GCACTAAAACATGTAATTGGTTGAGTGTCATTTAAATTGCAAGGGAACGGCTGAAGCGGTGATGCATTTTTTAAACACTGTAGTGTTGAGGATTGGATGTCTCGCCAACATACTGTGGCATTTTAAATGTATGAAACCTGGCTTATGTTGTTAAGAAAAGCGTAAGATGATGTATTCTGAGAAAAGGCATCAGTGTGTACAAAGAGATTTTTTTCTTTTCATATTCATGCTTGAAAGGCTGAGAACTATAATCAAAATGTGTTTCACTGCACTTTAAACAATGGTAAAGTGATTTTTTTGGGACTTTGTATCATGGTTCACCGATTTGACCTTGTGTCCACCTTCAGCTGTGTTGTGTGTATTAGACCGAACTCAATCTCAATCTCATACTGTAACAGGTTATATTGCATTATATCTGTTGTGTGTGTGTGTGTGTGTGTGTGTGTGTGTGTGTGTGTGTGTGTGTGTGTGTGTGTGTGTGTGTGTGTGTGTGTGTGTGTGTGTGTGTAATATTAATTAAAATACAAGTATCTATTTTTAAATTATATATTTAAATATACACTACCATTAAAAAATGTAGGGGTCAGTAAGATTGAACGAAAGACATCTAGAATGCAATTAAAAATCTGTTCATTTGAACATGTATGGTTTCCACACAAATATTATGGAGCACAACTGTCTACATAATAATAGGAAATGTTTCTTGAGCACCAAAATCATCACATTAGAATGATTTCTGAAGGATCATGTGACACTGAAGACTGCACTAATGATGCTGAATATTCAGCTTTACCATCACAGGAAGAAATTATTCAAATAGAAAACAGTTGTTTTAAAAATCACAATATTACTGTTTTTTGTGATTTTTTTTTTATCAAATAAATGCAACCTTGGTGAGCATAAGAGGCGTCTTTCAAAAACATTACAAAATCTTACTGACTCTAAACTTTTGAAAGTTAGTGTACTTATAAATATTACACAAATTAATGCATATTCAAATTATTATTGATAATAATAATAAGTACGCTATTAATAATCATTTATTATTGTAAAACAATGTCTGACACAAGGAATATAATTTCTGCCCTCTCTACCATGTGATGAGTATCAAACACCTCATAGTGAGGGGAACGGGGTGGTTTGAGGACGCGGAGTGCAAGATAACCTAGCAGGCCTCGTCTGCTGTAATGCTGATGTCATGGCGTCTGCTGGGGGTCCAGGACGAGACAGAAGGTCAGTGGAATGACGCGCTCCCAGTTGGGTCCAGAGGGATGGAGGAAGCGAGGCGGGATGTGGTTGATTTTCCCATGTTCCCATCCCCTAAGTGAATAACCCCTTGTAAGAGCAACACCAACTCAAGATGAGCTTGTGCTGATGGGAAGTAACCACAGACCAAGCACCTCGTCGTCTGGCTGTGCTTCCCAGTCTAGATAATGTCGGAATGTTCCAGTTCTCACTGGAATCGAGGTCCTAAATGTTCTACTTCAAGTCTGGATGGCATTACATTGCCATTAAAACATGCACTGATTATAGGCCTATATATACAGTCAAACCAAAATTTATTCAGACACCTTGCTATCCTCACTTTCATCAATGATCTATGGTGTCCTGCACCCACTAGTAAAAAAAAACTCAAAAATTATTTCTGGTGTCTGAATAATTTTTGGTTTGACTGTATATATATACACTCACCTAAAGGATTATTAGGAACACCATACTAATACTGTGTTTGACCCCCTTTCGCCTTCAGAACTGCCTTAATTCTACGTGGCATTGATTCAACAAGATGCTGAAAGTATTCTTTAGAAATGTTGGCCCATATTGATAGGATAGCATCTTGCAGTTGATGGAGATTTGTGGGATGCACATCCAGGGCACGAAGCTCCCGTTCCACCACATCCCAAAGATGCTCTATTGGGTTGAGATCTGGTGACTGTGGGGGGCATTTTAGTACAGTGAACTCATTGTCATGTTCAAGAAACCAATTTGAAATGATTCAAGCTTTGTGACATGGTGCATTATCCTGCTGAAAGTAGCCATCAGAGGATGGGTACATGGTGGCCATAAAGGGATGGACATGGTCAGAAACAATGCTCAGGTAGGCCGTGGCATTTAAACGATGCCCAATTGGCACTAAGGGGCCTAAAGTGTGCCAAGAAAACATCCCCCACACCATTACACCACCACCACCAGCCTGCACAGTGGTAACAAGGCATGATGGATCCATGTTCTCATTCTGTTTACGCAAAATTCTGACTCTACCATCTGAATGTCTCAACAGAAATCGAGACTCATCAGACCAGGCAACATTTTTCCAGTCTTCAACTGTCCAATTTTGGTGAGCTCTTGCAAATTGTAGCCTCTTTTTCCTATTTGTAGTGGAGATGAGTGGTTCCCGGTGGGGTCTTCTGCTGTTGTAGCCCATCCGCCTCAAGGTTGTGCGTGTTGTGGCTTCACAAATGCTTTGCTGCATACCTCGGTTGTAACGAGTGGTTATTTCAGTCAAAGTTGCTCTTCTATCAGCTTGAATCAGTCGGCCCATTCTCCTCTGGCCTCTAGCATCAACAAGGCATTTTTGCCCACAGGACTGCCGCATACTGAATGTTTTTCCCTTTTCACACCATTCTTTGTAAACCCTAGAAATGGTTGTGTGTGAAAATCCCAGTAACTGAGCAGATTGTGAAATACTCAGACCGGCCCATCTGGCACCAACAACCATGCCACGCTCAAAATTGCTTAAATCACCTTTCTTTCCCATTCTGACATTCAGTTTGGAGTTCAGGAGATTGTCTTGACCAGGACCACACCCCTAAATGCATTGAAGCAACTGCCATGTGATTGGTTGATTAGATAATTGTATTAATGAGAAATTGAACAGGTGTTCCTAATAATCCTTTAGGTGAGTGCATATAGCCCCTCTCTTTCTCTCTCTCTCTCTCTCTCTCTCTCTCTCTCTCTCTCTCTCTCTCTCTCTCTCTCTCTCTCTCTCTCTCTCTCTCTCTCTCTCTCTCTCTCTCTCTCTATATATATATATATATATATATATATATATAGGTTATACAGTCAAACAAAAAACAATATTCAGACACCAGAAATATACCAGAATTATTCCAATAGAAAAAAAAAATATATATATATATATATATATATATAATGAGTAGGTGATTTACCCACCACACACATTGTGGCTTCACATATAACATAAATTAATCAGCTCATGTTTTAAATGAATGGCAATGTTCAATGTTTTTGAAAGAAGTCTCATGCTCATCAAGGCTGCATTTATTTGATCAAAAATACAGAAAAAGACTGTAATATTGTGAAATATTATTACAATTTAAAATAATGGTTTTCTATTTTAATATACTTCAAAATGTAATTTATTTATTTGATGCAAGGCTGAATTTTCATCAGTCATTACTCCATATCACATTTTATTCAGCAAGTTTAAAATTAAATTGATAAAATGTTATAGTAAAGATTTATATTGTTAAAAAAGATTTATATTTTGAATAAATACTGTTCTTTTTAAAACTTTTTATTCATCAAAGAATCCTAAAAAAAAGTATCACAGGTTCCAAAGAAAATATTAAACAGCACAACTGTTTCCAGCATTGATAATAACTGAGCATCAAATCAGCATATAAGAATGATTTCTTAAGGATCCCGTGACACTGAAGATGATGGCTGATGAAAATTCAGCTTTGCATCACAGAAATAAATTATATTTTAAAGTATAGCCTATTAAAATATAAAACCATTATTTTAAATTGTAATAATATTTCACAATATTACTGATTCTCTGTATTTTTTGATCAAATAAATGCAGGCTTGGTGAGCATAAGAGACTTCTTTCAAAAACTTTAAAAATAGAAATGATTCCAAATTATGTATTCTACAACATTTGGATGCTTTGAGAAAGAAAAAAAGGAAAATTAATATAAATAAATTTCTTTAAATAGTGGCCTCATTACGCAATGCACAACCAAAAATGAGAAGACTCGTATTTTGTTTCCATTCATTTTTGCTCAGCATTCATTTATTTACTTTTCATGTGTGCTCTACAATTAAACCAGGACAACATAATATGCTCGGTCCAGCCAAAACACACACTACAACATCAACTCAATTTACAGATCTACCTCTCACTCTTGACCCTCCGACTATATGGACTCTACGACCTGCTCAGTGACCTGCTATAAATGATATTGTTGTAAGGATCTTTTTCACTGGAGGAGGCTTTGCGTCTTCACGAGGAGCATCTCCAATTACAAAATGCATCTACTGTGCTCTGTTGCACTGGGGAGCTTTCCCACAGTATTGAACCTGAGATGAACTTGGTAAAATAAACGTAGAATGGTAAGAGCATATAAGCCCATGCCTTCCAACAAAATAGACTGAAATGTCACTATAATTGATAATAATAATAATAATATTTACTTTAAAAAAAATGCAAATATAAATTTAAAATGTAATACTTTATGTAGATCTTTTCTTATTTTGTAAAAATAAAATAAAAGAATACTAGGCACATACATCAAAGTCTACTGCTATTGAATATCCCCACTAGCCAAGGAAAAATATCCATAGACATTTACTTTTTGTGAAACATAATAGCGGGACTGTTGTCACAATGGGAAATATAAACCCCAGCAGGTCTTTCGGTAAAATGTAAAATGTAAAAAAAAAATCGCTAAATTGTGATTTTAAAATAGGCTATAAAAACATATAAAGTTCATATTTCTCATTGATAAATTATGAACTGTAATTTAGTTATATATTACTAACTAATTACTAATATATACCCCAAATTGCAGCATATTAAACGTGGCATCTTGCCCCGATTGACATTCATGAAAAATACCTCTCTAGCCTGTTCCTGTCAAATTATCACAGAGTCCCAAAGAAAAGCTGTATAAGTGCACCCTCTGCTGTCTCAAACATGTATTACAGACTCGAGTTCTCCAACAAACTGCGACGTAGAAGTCCTTCCGGGTCAAGGTTGATTCCGTTCCATCCACACATGAGATGCACATGTTTACATGGACACTTGTATTTGTAGCAAAGTATTGGTGACACTAGCATAGGAATACATTTATTTCATACTGTTATAGTAAAAGTAGAGTGCAGATATGTCGCAGAATGAAGACGAAGGTTTTGAACAGACTTCAGTAGCACAGAAGAAAGGTAATGCTAACTAGCTAACACATTCAGTCTGTTACATACAGTAGTAAATTCGAACATGTCAAATAGAATGTATCTAACTTTATTTTCTAATTATTATTATTTTCACAGTTTCAAAGTACCAGTGTCCGGATGATTTTGTGGCAGTTTCATATGATGCCTCTGTAAATGACTCATGGGACGGAGATGAACAGAAGGAATTATGGCTCATCAAAGCTCCAGCTCGTTTTGATCCTAAAAGGTACAAAATAACTTTGGAATTAACGCACAGGTTTGCTAATAGGAATTCTGTCATAATTTGGAAGCAATCCTGATGATGATAATATTGCCTAACAATATGATATTAATAACGAGTAAAACATATAGAACAATTATGGATATTAAGTTAGAATTGATATTAAATTTTAATTATTTTAGTATATAATAATAGTATATTCTTTCAGACTTTAGACATGGGTATTTATGAAATAAATAATAATAAATATTGACAATATATCTTTGTAAATTCTACTGTTGAGTAAAAAAAAAAAAACAATGCAACATAATTTCAATCTGTCCATTGAGGGTAACTGCCTGTGGGATTTAGAAGTTACTGGCTAAATGGTTTAAATGTATTAACTTCATGATATCTCTACAATTTCTTATTTGTAAAATGCATATTCCAAAACAAAACTTCTGTATTAAGCTTTGAATAATTTAAAAATAGCTGTGATATGGGGTTGATCAATTCAATAATTGTTGTTTTGTGTCCTCTGCAGCTTTAAAGACCTCAAACTTCCCATATCAGGGCTGAAAAGGGTCCAGTCTTGTGGCACGGCACCTCAGATCTACAGCGTCCTCAGTGGCAGGACGGCACCATCAGACCTCCATCTGCTCGTTACCAAGGGGAAAAAACAGAAGACTTCTCTCTGTTCCTCCGGCTTCAGTGGTGTCCTCAAGATCTCTGAGAGCTACGGAAACTGCAGTGAGAACCAAGACCCCATTCCCATCCCGGCCGCTCCAGCTCCGTGCATCCCAGCTGGTCTCAAGCAACGTTTCCAGCCTTTTGGTAGTTCCATTGCAGCTCACATGAAAGATGAAGTCACTGTAGTTTCTCCAACTACACCCAAGAGAACCAGACAGGATTTGAATGAGGGCGAGGAGCGAAAAAAGAAGAAAAAGAAAAAGAAAGACAAGAGGCAAGATGATAGTGAAACTCTTTTTATCAAGCAAGAACAAACACAAATGGACTGTGATCAGTTAGAGTCATCTGAATTTATGGAGGAAGAGTCAATGGAGGAGAGGAGGCGGAAGAAGAAAAAGATTAAGAAAGAGAAGGAAAGACAGAGTGAAGACATGGTTGATGAAAGTTTAATATCCAAAACAGAGCCACTGGATCCTTATGATTATAATGACACCCCAGGGAAAACTAAGAAGAAGAAAAAGAAGACTAGTCGAGATGAGTAGACTGTCAAAAGAACTTGAAATGCTCTATCAATTCTTCACACATGCTTACTGTGATATTTAACTGTCAAAATACAACTAAGAAATCAGTATCTCTTACTGTGTTTCTCATAAAAGAATTCAACGTTTCTGTACAACACTCAATAATATTACCTCAAAAGCATCGTTTCTTCTGCTTAAAATCATTATTTTGGTCTCTTTTGTTTTGTTGTAACCTAACCGCCATACAAGCAACTGCACATTGCAGAGAGTGCTATGTGATACAGACATGAAAGGGAAAATTCAAATCCTGTCATATCCAACATTGTCTTTCTAAACAATGGCTTTCTACTGTGGAACATAAAAGAGAATATTTAAGATTGTTTCAAGTGTTTGTACGAAAGTCAAGCCCTTTCAATTTCATTGTATGGGCAGATACAAAGTGTTTTGAAAGAATGACAGAAAATGTAATTATCTATCCAAAGTGGTCTGCACTAAGTGTTTTTAAAAAATACTTTCTTTCATGCTCCACAAAAAGAATAGCAGAATGTGTGTTTTGGGGTGAACAATCCCATTAAATACTGCGTTCCTGCAGTACTTGCAGTTCCCCGGTAGGTGGCGGGAAATCTCCCTCTGCTGGTGGAAGCGCTGGATGTCCTCCGCTTGTTCTGCACTGAGGTATGGCCATGATTTCTAATGAGCACAGGCACGTTTGCCGCCTCCAAAATGGGTTTCTCTGCCCCTCCCACTGCGCACATGCAGGTACAGCTCAACATCCCAGAGTCCAGTGGGATCACGAGGAGAATTCCATAGGCGGTACTCGCTGCTTCGTTGATCAGGTATTTAGGCCTAAAGAATGTTGCACCTGATGATTCTCTAATGGAGACGTTTTTGTGAACTAAACATTATCACAAACTCCCTCTATAGATATGTTAGTGCTGTCAAATCGACGAATCGCATCTAACATAAAAGTTTTTGAATATAATATTGTGGCGAGCAGAGGACGAGGCCGATGGCGTGATTAAATCGACCTCGCACCGTTCTCTCACGGCCCTCGGCCTCGTCCTGCTCGCCACAAATATGTGTGTGTATATTATATGTATGTGTGCGTGTATTTATACACATCCATGCATGCACATCATATAAATATAATATATATAGCCTACACAAACTTTCTATAAACAAAACCTATGTTAGATGTGATTAATCAATTTGACAGCACCTATATATATATGTATATATATAGGCTATATATACCTTATTGAATAGAATAGCGATAAGGTATAGGCCTATATGCATGTACATGATGCACATAAAGAACTCCAAGACTTAGTGGGTCATATTCAAATGTACACCTGTTTACAGCACTCGCATCGTTTAGCATTTATTTTCTGAGTTTGAATCACAGAAAGACAAGTGGTTTGTCATCACCTGTTATTTTATCACAGAGGCGGAGACGTCTCGTGCACGCGCCTGCAACTTGTTTGCCTTGTTGTTTTTGTTTTGTTTTTTTACACCCATCAGTAAAAAAAAATTCCCGCGGTATGCCATAGGCGTTATGAGATGCTTGAACATTGCTGGGTGTCTGGTGAGGCAGATAAATAATTGAATGCAGTCTGAAGTTTGGAAGCAACGTGCCCAGACTGTAAAGCACAGCGCGGGGCCCCTGTGCGCCCTAAACTGATGCAAACGATAAGGTTCGGGTGGGGGAGTAATGTTTTTTCTTTTTATTTTTGAGCCAATCTCGTTTGTGCACACCCTCCCCCTCTTTACTGCAGCAATTCTTGTCTCTCTCTCTCTCTCTCTCTCTCTCTCTCTCTCTCTCTCTCTCTCTCTCTCTCTCTCTCTCTCTCTCTCTCTCTCTCTCTCTCTCTCTCTTTCAGCGTGCTCCATGCGGCCTGCAGCTTTTGGGGAGGGGGGTTGGGGGAGTTACCATAGCAACGCGCACTTGCCAAGGACTACGGAGCCGAGCGGAGGTCGAAATGGGGTTCGGCTCACATCGATAGGGACCTTCCTTCCCCCAATTAGACGATTTTATCTAGTATCCACCAAGACATAAATCATTTTATTCTTGTCAAGAGGCGGAAGTCAAAATATTTCTTCTTGATAATTCCTATTGAAGTGTTTGTTTGGGGGTGAATTACCGCTCCAGGAACTTGTTTGCATACTAATACGTTGACGTGACTCATTCAAAGCAATCTATTCCAAAATGTGTCATTGAGCCTCCTCTGCAGCAGCAAGGAATTCTGGGAGATTTCAACACAGCATCACTTCATAAGCCTTTGCATTTCAGTATAAGATGGTGTCAGAAATACAGGATTGTTTATTTATTGTTTGATTTATCATGACAGCAAGAGTGCAATGGGATTTGACTCTTGCCTTACATAGAAGAAAAAAAGTATTAATAAATTAAGTGTGATACTATTGCTGCTATGCGCACAGCCAAGTCAAGTCAGACATGTGTTATAAAAGCAGCAGGTCTTTCAGCTGGTTGTCATGACAACCACAATGCCGGGTTTTTCTATCATTGTTTCCTTACCCACCTCTATGACTGTGTTCGTGCTCAAGGACTTGGTTTTCTGTCACTGACCAAGATGTGTTGCATGAATTTTTATTTATTTATTTATCTTTATAAAAGACCAGCCTTTCAAACCAGCTTTTGGCTGTGATGATAAAGCCATGGAGTCGAGATCGTCCAAACTCAACAGATGCCTGTGCTTATTGTGCCCAATTTAACAAGCTAACTTTCCCAATCTATTATCTGTGTATGTATACAATATATATATATATATATATATATATATATATATATATACATATAGCCTACCTTATAAGTGTCTTATTCTTATTCAGTCAAGAGCAGTGAGTAATTTTATCTTTTTCTTTTGTTCTTTGATTATCCTTAATGACAAACAGCATCAGGTTTATTAGGCTGCTGTCACTATAGACGCTGATCTGACACACATCTTATTTGGCTATATTGTGATGTGGCAAGGCAATACACTCAATTTAGCTTCATAAAAACCATTACATTTGTTGCCATTTTCTCTCACTGCCTAAACAAAAACCCAACTAGCCTTATTTAGTCTAGGGCCAGGGTTCGTGGTGGCGACTGCATGACCCATTAGGACAGGCCGGCACTGTCTCTGCTAGACATGCTGTGCTTCCATCTGTCCAAGGGTCACTTACTCCCCATCGGTGCCAAACGCACGCTTCCCTCTGCGCGGCTCTGACATCTTCTCTGTTTCTGCCTCTTTTGGCTTGTCGAGATAAAAGGGGGGAGTGCAGATGGAAACTGGGTCACTAGAGCTTTTTATAACCTCATGGAATTGTTGTTAGATTTAACCTTCAGGTGCTGTTGTAGCTAAAACTGTGAAAAAACGAGGGGAATATGTTAGTAAAGTAGGCTAATTGGAAGTCAAATTTGTGATTCAAATGAAATTGACAGGGTTTCCCTCTCTGTGTATAAATGTTGCTTAGATTGCTTAGGGAGTGTGATTATTTTTTACTTTTTCTGTCATTTGTGTGAATTGGGATATACAGTATATCTGGACAGTATTTTCCAAAAGCATCACAAGCCTAAGTAAGTTGTAGAAAGCACTGGCACCAAAACCATTGGCACTAATGATTATGATTGTTTTGGGAAACGCAGCCCTGCATGTAGTTGTGTCTGTAGGATAGTGGCTTTGCGTAACAGAATGTTACAGTATTTCAAAATAAAAACATTTTACAAAGTATTGTAGAATAAAACTACTAAACGTCCTGTATTTATTCACCTTTTCAGGTATGTGCATTAATTTGGTAAGCAAAAGAAATTAGAAACTAGAAAAAGCATTCTCAAACCAGTTTTGTTTCCGTAATGTGACATTTAGGCCCATCGGAGTTAAGCAGGATATTCAAGTAGAATTCTAATTCATCATTTAGAAACAGTTTTTGAATTGTGAAAATGCATGGATTTATCACATTAAAGTTACAGTGAGCTATTGTAGAAAGGCTCCGATGTATAGCCTAAATAAAAATAAATTCACATCTGATGAACATTAACTCTTTCCCTGCCAGCGGTTTTTGTTTTATTTTATTTTTTAAAGTTTCCTGCCACCCCCAGCATGTGTGATAATTTTCACAAAACTTGCATGGCCCCAGAATATTTTGTTGTATGAATATCTGAACATGCAATATATCAAAAGAAAGAACAGAGCCTCTGCTTTTTTTTTACATTTTATTCTTGCTTGACGCATTGCTTGCTCCACTTGAATATGGGCAATTTTCATAAAAAAGTAACAAAAAACTGAGAAAGACAACAACGTGCATATGCTTTACCGCTTGTTTCTGCTCCCTTTTGCCTGTGTTTTGCTCATAGAATGTAAAAAAAGATGGACGACGCCCCTTCGCTCTCTTCCATTGGTCAGAAGTGAAGCCGCCAGTATCCCGATATGGCGCTGACATCTTGGAACTTGAGTCTGCGCAGAAGCGATTTCGTGACCAGACATGCGCAGTAGTGAGCAGGAAGTAAGGCCGTGAAATCAAGGCCCCGCCCTCACTCTCGCAGAATCAATTGCAAGAACACGCTCCTGTACTTTAAAAAAAATTAATTATAGAAATTTATATATAAAATGTAAAGCTCCAATCTCCTTAGTCCTCCGAAGATCCCGAAAAAAAGTCTGTTGGTGCTTCAGTGACTACTTCGCTCAGAGAACCTGTCAATCACAGCTGTCAATCATGACGTCACCACCACCGTATCAAATAACTAACTAAAAACAAACTTATTTTAAAAACAAACACTTGAAATTACATCAGCGTGATTAAAAACTACAGTAACTGACGGAAACCATATTTGGAAAAACGATATTTGAAGTGTAATTTAATTGTTTAGTTGGTCTCACATGCCATTGAATAACATGGGGAGGCGGGGTTTATGACCTATACTAGGACCGGCCACCGGGGGGGGGGGGGCGATCGAGACGTCAGTCACTTTTCAGGGCTTGTGCGGCACGCTTGGTTTTGTTTTGCTCCTCAGATTCTGTACTCTTTTAGAAGATATAATAACGCCCCCTACCATATAACAGTGAAAACACGGAAAATTCCGTAAATAGCGGTGAAAGAGTTAATAGGCTGCACACAGTCTAGGTAATGTCCGTAATGTCGAATGAAAGGAGAAGTCAATGCAGAGGCATAGCACGCACACCTACGCATGATATCGTTC